TGGAGTTATTGGATTCTGCATCGAGACCGCTGTATAGTGTGCGATGCTCGCTTTGAATGTTTGGATAGTATAGACTCAGCTTAGACTTAGCATCTTCTTTTACAAGGGATTGACTCAACTCATTTAATACGCGGCTTCTTCAACCCTGACTCGATTTGATTCAATAAATGCGGATGATCGCCATCTCAGACCCATAGAGCCCGTAGCTGACTTTATTGTTGGATTATTCTTTTTGATTTTTGATTAGATGTATATAGACCGATTTCCTCAAGCACCTAGTTAAATCAGCTTTCCTAACTTCTTGTACCAAGAGGGAATATTGATTGATCAATGGTACAATTCTACTTACGAATATAACAGAGTCCTATCAGAATTAAAACGCATTTTCTTTGAACGACATAATTAACTATCCCTCATCATCCTTCTAATAGTAATCTATCTTATTATCTCCTTGCTCACATACAAGTTTTGAAATACATTCTCGTAGGCGGATGTACTTTGGGGAGAGTGAAAGATAGAAAATGCCAGTTGTAGTGGTATCAAATAAAGAAGTGGAAAAGATGATACTGCGCGCTCCGGCTGGGATCTCTTGAGGTAGATACAGAAAGAAGCTAGGCGCCGCAATTCTCCAGGGGGGAAAGGCTCAGATCAAGTTATGAGCGCTCCAGTGTTGCGTTCTGGCAGATCTTCTTCGGAAGTAGAACGTAATGATCTCTCTCATGCCAATATCCTTCGCTCGGGTCTCGCTGTAACCGATGAGACCATCAGATATTACCAAGTCTCGGCTGTTCGAGACTAAGACAAGGAAAAAGAGGCGTCCGACGAATTGGCAATAAGATGGCACACGCACAAGTCATCGGAGAGCAGGCACATAAGCTATCAAGCGCCGGTCTCGAGGCGCAAACTCGAAATTGCGAACCAGATGGGCCGATAACACCTTGGTAAAATAGAGATACAGATAGTAATGTTAATTAAAAAAGGTTTAATGTTTAATTTATCCCCTGCTCAGTTGGCCATCATCACATCAGTGCGTATCCATTATTTGGGGTCCTTGGTCATATTCAAGGTCGCCACTCAAATACTTACATGGTCCTGTTCATCCAAATTTCGGTCTCCAAAGCAATCCCGTAATGAGCAAGATCGGCCGGCTCGGCACAGGCGCCTGTTCGTCCGTTCTTTGTTTGTTAACAAAACAGCATACGGAGGCAAACCGGAAGCAGAGATGCATCAACACAGACCCGACGACGTCAACGAAACATCCAACAATGAAGGATATTCAAATAATAGTCTAATTCAAGGACATTGAGATACGCAGTGCTGCCCTACAAGGCTAGCCATTGGCGATATCTTGCGGGGTAATGTCAAATATCGTGGCCGACGTCTGTGTGGATGCATTGTTCTGAACGCGTTCCGTGTTTCGCTGCGCCATAGCGTCCTGGTCTGTGTTAAATCCAGGGTACCAACTGTAGTCAACATGGTCAGACTAGTTGTGGCTTTTGCATGTTATTCAAAGGTAATCCTCTGTGTTGTTTCAACGCGAATCTATCTTTCAACTTTTGGATCTAGTCACCGTTTCCTGCCTGTTCACACAACCAACACACCCAGCATGGCGTCCAACGCTACAGCCGCACAGAATTCGCGACAAGTCAACCAAGAAATAATGGACTATTATCCCCAAGAAGCCACGCAACCCGCTCCTGTGCAGGCCGCAAGATCATCAGCGGGCTCCAGCTTCTTCGAACCACTCTGGCGACGCAACGACGAGAAGAGTGGCAATGGAGGGTTCGAGGGTAATCAGAAATCCCACTTCAGCAGCCGTAACAGCTCGGTGACAGACGTCGACAAGAGGGTCAAGCATGGAGAGACTTTCCACACGAGCTTCGAAGTGGAGGCACCAGAAGGTATCTTGTACAGAAACGGTCAGCTTATCCTCCAGCCGGCGCCAACCAAGGATCCGCGGGATCCCCTCAACCTCCCCATGTCGCGTAAAGTCCTGGGATGCTTCTGTCTCTGCTGCTTCGGTGCGCTGGCCGCTGCCGCCGAGTTGATTCTCGGTGCTATGTTGCCCGTCTTTGCTCTCGAATACGCCGGTCTCGACCCGAAGATCCTCAAGCCCCTGACCGACAGCGGTGGTCTCCCTGCAGGCCTCGACCCCTTGAAGGTGCTTTCGAATCTGCCGAGTGCGCCGCCAATCTTTCAAATCTATCTCTTGGCTTCGCTCCCCGTTCTGGTCATTGGTCTGGCTAACTTGGTTCTCGTTCCTATGGCCATCTCCGTCGGTCGTCGCCCCGTCGTTCTCAGCACCGGTGTTGTTGCCATTATCGGATGTCTCTGGGCAGGTAGCAGCCAGTCTCTACAGTCGCATCTTCTCGCTCGTTGTGTCCAGGCTGTTGGCGCTGGCACTGTCGAAAGCTTGATCCCGTTCATTATCCAGGATATGGTCTTTGTGCACCAGCGCAATGCCTGGATTTCCAGCATCTTTGCCGCTCAGGGTCTCATCATCATCGTTCTTGGAATCGCGGCGCCGTACATGATTATCGACTTGAGCTGGCGGTGGATGTACTACATCACGGCCATTGGCGCAGCATTCTTCCTCGTTGGTGTTTACTTTTTTATGCCTGAAACCAGATGGCAACGATCACGCGCTGAGATGAGTAAGTTGAAAGCATCCACTGTCTTTGGAGTTATCGGCTAACCTCGGACTGTTAGATGGCATTCCTCGCAACGAGATTGGCCATGAGCGCGGTCCCAGAACCTTTCGCTACAACATTGCTCTCTTCCATGGCAAGATGGACTGGCGGAAGGGCTGGAATGCTTTCGTCGACACTCTTCGCACGTTTTTCTATCCGCAAATCTTCTTCATCACCATGCTTAACAGTGTGATGATTGCTTGTGCTTTTGCTGCTGGTTATACTGTGGCCCCAGCTCTCTTGACAGCACCCTGGTCGTAAGTAATGAATTCTCAAACTTGGTGAGAGACGCGACTCACGCCGATACAGATGGGACTTCATGAACCTTGGCCTCTGCCTCGTGCCGGTCCTCATCGCGGCTATCGCTGTTGCCTTGGTCACTGGAAGTGCCGCCGACTGGATGGCAAACCGTATTGCGAAGAAACGCGGAGTCCGCGTCCCTGAAAACCAACTTGTCAACCTCATCATCCCAACCCTCGCCGGTATCGTTGGCTCCATCATCTTTGGTCTGGCTGGCTCGAACCAGGCAGAGTATTCCTACTTCACGTTCCTCACAGGCCTCGGCCTCATGGCGTTCGGCTTTTTGGGTGCCAACACCATCGGCGCGGTCTACGTCATCGAGTGCTATCCCCACCTCGCGGGCCCGGCCCTAGTCAACATTGCCTCGTTCAGAGGTTTGCTGGCTTTTATTCTGTCATTCAAGATCTCCGACTGGGTGGTGGATATGGGCTACTTTGACGCGATGATGATTTACACCGGGCTGATCAGCGCCTTTGCTGTTTTCGTTCCCGTGGTATACTTCTACGGGCCTGCTTGGCGCAGGAGATGGCCAGCCGAGCATTTCGGTGATCACATTTGACAAATGATATGTGCCAATTGAGATGGATTTCACGGAAGGGGACGTGTATGAGTGCTAATGACTTGGGAAGGGGTTTTGTGTTTGTTTGACTGGCTATTTATGTATAATATTGTCCTACTGCTCGATGCTCGATGATTGATCGCCCTGGGCGTGGGGACTCTCAAAAAAATAAAAAATTAACAGAGATAAAGCATATGGGGAGAAGCTCCCCGTGTGTAAGCAGGTATTCGTGAAATAAAAATTGAAAAGAAAAGAAAAGAAAAGACATGCAAACCCGGCAATCCACCTCGTCTCTTCTCCCTTCACTCACTCGTCGAACACGTCAGACGTGAAAAGGCAGCCAAGTACCACAAGCAGCAGGAGGGGGCGACCGGTTGCTACTTGGCAGCAGCGCCCGGGCCACATGCAGAACTCCCAACTTCCCACCTACATCCACCTTGCTCCAAAAACTCATCATCACCACCCTCTTATCACAACAACTCGTCATCGCCACCCTCTCTTCATAACAACTCAAAAAATAATGAGACAGAGCAAAAGAGAAACTCCTCGACGGGGAATTGAACCCCGGTCCCCTGCGATACCATGGAATAATTCCCCGGTGACAAGCAGATATCCTCACCACTAGACTATCGGGGATGGGTGGATGTTGACATCCAGTGATAGTTGGTTGGGAGCGGACGTGAGTTGAGGCAATAAGTAACGTAGGGCACGACCCTACGCTAACCTCAGGGCTCGGGCGGGACTTGGTCGGCGACGACTGCTGCCCCTCTGCCTCATTCTGGCTGTCTCCTGTGCGTCTGCTAGCCATCTTTATGCTGGGAAATCTGTCTCGACATCTTCTCTGATCGATCACTCATCCGGTGCGATCATGTGCGATCATGTGTGAGTGTGGTGTGAGGTTGGACAGAAGACTGGACGAACCTGTGTAAACCTTGTTTAGGGACTTGGCAGACAGAGGCCTGATTGGGCAATCGGCACTGTTCCCATTCGCTGAGCGCGCCGAACAGGGATTTCGTGGCGGCATTAATGCAAACCTACTTCTTACTACGGTTCCCTCCTCTACTCTCTGTCAGCTTCTCATATGCCCTGATCCAACGCCAGGGCGAGATGATGCGCATACTACTCATATATTATGGATTGTAAGCAGAGAGATCCAAGGCGCCGGGTACTATGAAATTGAATGAATCATTCATTACAGAGATTCGGCAGGCCTCATCGAATGTTGCAGTAGACGTTTTCATGGGATGAATCAACCCGCAAACACCTCAATTCTTCGATCTATTCTTTCCATCAGACTACTATCTATGTACTTGAATAGAAACAAGTGCTATGAGCACCCTCGCAGATGGGATAGCGGCTCATCCTTGCTTGGCGACTTCCAGCCCTCACGCAAGGCGTCCCCAGCTCCAGGAGTTGTAAGCACAGCCGTGTTGTAAACCAGCATGTGTGACTCAACTGTCAGGCGATGTTTGATTGCCAACAACCATGAAGTCGCGCCTCCAGATATCCCAGTGATCGCTCTTCGTCGGGTCTCCAAACGGACTCAGCGCAGCAATTCGCATACTGTCGATTCCTCGTTAGATCTCTACATCGAGAAGTGTATCCATTCAAGAGACTTACGTGTAATTTCCAGGTTTGATCTTCGAGCCGTCAGAGAACCTGCCAAGCCACCACGCCCTCCAGGGCGCGTAGTTGTAATCTTCCCTCGAGAACTCTCCCATGGGACCCCGGATGAGGTCGAAGTCGTTGTCATTATCTGGATCAAAGACGGTAGCGTGCCTTTCGTTGTCCTGTGTACAAATAAGCGCTATTCAGGTGCGAATGTGCCGCATAATGAAGGCGTGGTATTATCAGGTGAGATGAACTTACCCAGGTCGCAGCATGTCCAACAAATCCATCTTCCCCAGGAACAGGCGGATACGTCCCCCAACTCTTCTCCTCCCAACCTCTCTGAAAGATATCCCAGCGTAGGACAGAGCAACCCCATCGGAAGTTCATGTAGAGTTTTGGGAAATCCTGCGCTTCCAGTGAGAGGTCAAAGGAGAAGCTAGGAAGCATAACATCAGCGGATTGGTTGTGGAGGGCAGGTTGGTTGAAACTTACTTGGTCTTGTGAATCATAGGAATGTCATCCGCTCCCGAGTTGATGTACGGGTACTCGTCGACAAACATCTTCTTGAAGGTCTTGCGCAGATCGGAGGCGACGCCCATGTAAGGGACCGAGAGCTGCTCCCCGTTGGAGCCATGAATGCGAATCTTGCCGCTGTACAGGGGCATGGCTGAATGGTTTCCGCCTTTGGGGTGTTCGAACGTGAATCTGGACCAAGGCATTAGTTGATGGTGGTAATAAGAGAACGCGACGTGGTGTACCTACTTTGCCTCTCTGGTCTCTCCTGGACCAACGGTAAACTCCTTGGGAAACGTCACGTTCGGGACCAACGGCGCAGCCAATGGAACCAACCCCGTATACTGGGGGCCCATCTTGATGTTGTCCCTATCATCTAGAACCTCGTACGTCCCCGCAGTCTGAACGCAAAAACTGTACGTAATGGGACCCGTGCAATTGTTCGTGATCATAACAGAGTGCGAAGTGCGGAAGTTCGTCGTGTCGTTGAGCGCAAACTTGGCAAACGAAAGCTCCGTCCGGTAGTCCAGGACCTTGGTAGCGTTGACCAAGCCGTTGCCGAGTTGGAAGATCGGGGCCCGGGTCGTCCCATAGTCTGTCATATTCAGCCCGTTGTTCCACGGAAGGGACTCGCCGCTGGCCAGGATCCGGGCTGAGAGCATTTTCCCGAACGGGGCGCCGTGGACGTTTCTGCCACCGTGCTTCGAGATGAAGAGTGCAGCTACACCTGCCACGTACGGCGTGGCCATAGACGTGCCAGACTTTAGGCCATATCTTCCATGGGGGATAGTGGAAAAGATGTTGCTCCCGGGCGCTGCGATGTCAGGCTTGATCTGGAGATCGTACAATCCGCCCATGGCAGTGAAGTAGGAGCTGACAACGGCGGGGTTCTTCAGGTTGACCAAATCCGAATCGGACTCGTTGAAAAACCGAGCCGTCACCTTGGCGCCTTTCGCGAGCGCAGCAAGGATTTCAACGCCCACAGCGTGCTCCGTGATGCCCTCTGTGCGGTAGACATCGTAGCTATTAGGCATCGGGAAAGTCTCGTTGTCGTTGAATAGTAACATATACTTGACGCTGGCAGACTGAAGAGCATATCGCTTATTGAAGCCGTTACAGCCACCGCGGGGAACCATCACAAGAGCGCCCGTCAAGTTCACCGTCCCCGGTGGCAAGAAGCGGCACCCGATTGTGGTGTTGAGGGGGTCGTAGGACAATGCGGTAATGGGAAGACTCGAGTTGAGGGGGAAGCTGTGTGTGAGGCCGCCATAGAAGAACCCATACCTCGACTTGTTAACACTCCCGTTTCCGTAGTCAAAGGTCACCTCAAAGGGCATTCCCGGGACGTATGAGGGCTCTGTGGACGCCACGGAGAGCACGCTTCGTCCAGATTGACCGTTATCCCCGAGAAACGCACCACCTTCGCCTGTGTTGCCAGCGGAGATCGTCACGACGACGCCCTGATCCACGAGACGGGAAGCAATTTCGGCCCAGGCGTTGGATGAGAACCCTCCGCGACCTCCGATCGAAGAGGTGATGATGTCGGCCTAGCGTGGTGTCAGATGAGAGAACAGTCGGCCGACCAATGTGGCCAAACTTACGCCATCATTATGAGCCATCAGAAACGCCTCAATCAGAGTCTCTTCATCTGTATCGCCACTCTGTGCTCACAGTCAGTATACATATGGGAGTGAGAATCGTTTGCTTACAGTTCCGGAAAACACCTTGTACGACAAGATGTTGACTTCAGGAGCAACTCCTTGCCAGCTGAATTCGAGTTATTAACCTGCCCTGCTCCAAGCCTCGAAGGCGAACACTAACGTATCTGACTTTCCGGCAACGATCCCACTGACATGCGTGCCGTGCCCGCCGAGAGAATCTTGCTCATACGGGTCCTTGTCGGGACGCTTAGGTCCATCACCGCTTGGCCAGTCTTCACATTTGCTTATTAGCCCTTTTTGTCTGCAGGGGTGCTGATGATCCTGCTCTCACCCGAGTCGCCCACGAGATCATATCCGCCCATGACTTTGAAGCCCTCTCCGAATCCACCACCGAGCTAAAATATCAGATATTACCCTCTATTCAGGAAGTTTACTGGCACTCACAGCCGGATGTGTATAGTCAATACCGGCATCAACAACAGCAACTTTAACACCCTTGCCTAGGATGCCTTTATCATGAAGCCTCTGCACACCAGTGATGCCGTGAATATTGTAGTTGTTCCCCGAGATACCCCCACTGAACTCCTGGCCATCCTCGACCACGGCTCTCTGGACTCTGCGTGATGGCCAAACATTGCTCGCACCTCGTAAGAGACGCAGGTCCTCCTCGTTGTTGCCCGCCAGCGTGACACTGATTCCTGTGAACACGTCGCTGCGGAAGGTCTTGTACACTGTTGCACCGGTGAAAGCGGATAGGTCTGTCTGGAGCTGCTTGAAATCCGAGTCCTGTGGCGATTGATCTTGTTATTAATGTCTCGGAGCAACCAAAACCATAATCACTCACTTTCGCGAGCTCTACGATGAAACGTCTCGTTCTAGAAGATGGGTTCTCGCTCGGAGTCTGCTGCTGTTGTCCGAACCGAGCCAGACTCGCGCCCGCAAAGGACAAGATCGCGACTGCAGTACCCAAACGCATGATGGCTAGCTTGTAACGGGAACTGACTCTTGAGACTATCAAGCAAAGAACAGAAAGGCGAAATGAAGAAAGATGGCCCTGCCCTCATTATATATATTGCCGAAATTCCTATTGTGCCCTAAGAAGTGAAACGGCACGCTGTTCTAGCAGGCCCATGTGAGATGCCGGGTGCGAGGGCACCTGCATGCTCGCCTCGTTCAAGGTCCATATTGAAAACAAAGATGAATACCCGTTTACACGGCAAACAGATTCTCCGACACTTTCTTTGCTCGTTCTGGGGCGGTGAGATGATAATGAACGTATCACCGGCTTCAAGGCATGCCTTGCATTTCTCAGCCAATCCTGCAGCTGAAGTATCTCAGAGAGTAGCGAAACATTTTAACCAGTAAACTGATCAGAAACTTCTTGCTCTTCATATTGACGGCCGGTGGACAATCGAGCGGTACTTGGTGTTAAAGTAAGGTTCCAAAGGTATGAAACTACAGCAGTCTCTCTTTCGCATGTCCTCCCCTATGCAGTATGTGACAGACAGGCTGGCAGCTCTTGGCTACCCGCATCACCTGCCATGTTCACGGCATTCGTGTGAAACAGGCGATGACGAGTGGTAGTGAGATGTTTTAGACAGCATGACTGCGCTTATTCGAAACAGATATCAGTAGGCGGCAATGAACCTGATCCATGTGATTTAGTCGGGCACCAGCAGGGACATACGGGTAGTGAGGCAAAGATGTCGATGGCTTGCAGGTAGGGCCGAAGGTAGAAAGATCTTGCCATTTTCGGAGTCACGACGCCGACGGGTTTAATTCAACAAGCTGTGGTAAGAGCCACATCACCTGCGTAGATTGAGTGTGCCGTGATGTCGTATTACCCGTTTATGTACCTGCCGTTTTGTAGTCGGAAAGTATGACTGCGGATGTAGACGTCAGGTAGTCGATAGAGACAGCAGAGCCTGGGTTTCACGACGGGAAGATGATGTTCCACAGCCCCTGGATCAAGTCAAATTTCCGTATTGCAAACCTCGTGGCAGACGGAGTCGGGACGGAAAGAACAGCAAACGGACTGTGAGCTCTGACTGCCATCGGTACACGACACGCGCCTGACTGAACAAGGAAACAAGTATACGAAGTCACGGGAAGGTTGGCAAGCCGAATATCAGGACGGGTAACACGAAAACATCTCTCTATTTCTTGCTTGACAGACCGCCCTTGAGCTTCGCCAAGAGACCAGCTATTTTGGCCTTGAGGACTGGACTGGGGCCTTCATCGGCGCCAACCAGTCTCCGAACTAGGATATTATACATGCCGCCGAATGCGAGCGCGATCGCCGTCGAGGTGAAAATGATGACATTGTAAGGCATGCTGAAGTCTGGCGTGGGCAGATTCAGCAACAGCGTGGTGGTGCGTGTACTTTGCGTACGGGGACTGAGAGTAGTAATGACTGCCGCAGCAATGTCAAAACCACGGTTCGCATCAGGGGGGTATTCAGTGTATCGAAGGATGGACTTTTCAAAGTCGTAGGTGAGAAAGACAGTGGAAGCGGGAGGGATACGCATCCGCAGCTCGAGCTGTGTGCCTCTGGCCCGATCGACGGCGGGGCGGTAGTAAATGTCCTCAACAATCGACGGCTGCGAACCTGACGATCCCTCAATACGCGCGTTAAGAGTATGGAGGTAAACTCGCATAAACCAGGGAAGCGATTCCATGTAGATGAACTCGACCTCCGTGTCCTTGCTTGGGTTCGTAAGAATGGCCTGCATACCACCATGTTCCTGTCCGTGTCCAGTGAAACTGCGCTCGGCGTAGATGAGGGGAGTGGGCGGCTCGACCAATTCCTTTGTCGGATCTTGTCCTGCGTTATCTTCCAAGGGGAGAACAATCTCAAGCTCTGATTCCGCACCAATCTTGAAGCAGCGCGATGCTCCATTCGGGTTCAAGATCTCTGCAGCTCCACCAGATGTATAGACACCTCGGGTGTGGGGAACCTCGATGCAGACCGGCGGTACGTCCTCGTCTGTCAGAGGGCATGTGCCTTTAATCGACTTGCCGAAGATCTGGGACAGGGTCCATTCCTGACCAGTGGTAAGGCCGGTAGGATAACATGTTTCGTCATTGTGGTAAGGCTTGGAGGTATCGCACTTGAGCTCGTGTCCAGGGGGTGGACGGGGAATCGGGTTGTCTCTTGGTCGCTTGGATCGGTCAATGTCGAGAACCATGTCAATAGTCTGCTCGATTTGCAGAATGCACTCCTGGCCCTCAGGACAGACAGGCTTAATATCGATGGCCATGCTTTGGAAGGAGGAATCGAAGAGCTTGTGGCCGTCTAGCAGACTCGAGATGCCTGCCTTTCCCTTGCAAGGGAGCAGCTTCAAGAAGGGCGTCAAGTTCTCTGTGCACACCACCTCCTTTGGCAGAACGCCGTGAAGGAGCTGCATGTTCGGTATCGATGCTTCGGGGTGGTCGCCCTCGGGTTGGAATGACATGACTGGCCTTGTGGTTCGGGTTCCATCGACGAAGTTGAGCGATGCACAGAAGAGTCCTGAAAGAGCATTGGTGAGGGTCAACCACTTCTGATCGGCCCTGCATATCTGTCAGTATAATCCATCTGCAGTATGACAATGAGTGACATACTCCTCGTCCGTCTCGGCCTCAAGCCACGCCCACAGCTCCACGCCCGTCCCGCCTTCGCGCTGACCATCCCAAGGCCGACTTCCCCAGCTCTCGGCATCCCATCTTCCCAAGCTGAACCTAAGATGAAGCTCTCTCGTCCCGGCATATTGAAGAATCTGACCCAACGACCGGGGAAAGTACCGGAAGTTTTGCAAGTCGAAGTCAGATAACGACGTATTGGATCGGAAGTTGAAGCTCGCAAGCAAGGCGGACAGGGGCAGCGGGCGGAGGTTCAGCTGCTCGTGGTAATCCGCAGCCAGGCCAAAGGAGGCGAGGCAAGAGAAAAGAATGGCCGCCAGGAGTTGGCGCATCATGGAGGGAGTATCGCAGCGCAGAAGAATGAGATTCGCGGCTGCTGCGGTCTCTCCCCTGCACGACGGCGCATGTAATGCCGTTGGGGGTGAGGTCGTGTAGGTGGTCGTATGGAGGGATGTCTAGGCGGTGGGACTCGGCAGAATCCCTCTTATGTAACCACAACTTGGGGAAAGTACCTTTTGCAGCTCTCCACATTCCGCCCATGGTTCATCCCGCGCGACACGCTTTCTTGCCCAGAACTTCGCGAATTTCCTTACCTTCAATTTAAGATACCCAATTAACCCGTCCACGAAACTTCACGCCAAACCACGATACATCGTATACCATTCAAATCTCAACAGACACTATCGAGCATCACGGACAATGGCAGCAGAACAGAGAAAGCTGCTGGAGCAGCTCATGGGCGGCTCGGCTAGCACCCGGGCAGCCTCGCTCTCCATGACAGATCCCAAAGTCTGCAGATCATTCCTTGTTGGCACATGCCCTCACGACCTCTTCACGAATACCAAGCAAGATCTCGGTCCATGCCCAAAGCAGCACTCCGAAGCACTCAAAGCCGAGTACGAGGGACTGTCAGATAAGGAGAAGCAAAAGTATGGCTTTGAGTACGACTACATGCGCGACCTTCAAAAGTACATCGATGATTGCAACCGAAGGATAGACTCAGCACAGCGCAGACTCGAGAAGACACCCGACGAGATCCGCCAAACCAATGCCTTGGTATAGTCTCAACACTCTCCCCATTGCACTGCAACTTGTAGCTAACTATGATACAGCTGAAAAGCATTGCCGAACTCTCCTCCACAATCCACAACGGCACGCTCGAAGTTGAAATCCTCGGTGAAATGGCCGAAGTATCCCGTGCGATCGACGAGTTCTACCGAGTACGCCAAGCACAGCAAACGAAGTTGGATCGCGAGAAGGAGCTCAAGGCCCTGTCAGACACCTCGGGACCGTCCGGCCATCAGAAGCTGCAAGTCTGCGACGTTTGCGGCGCCTACCTTAGCAGGCTGGACAACGACCGCCGTCTAGCAGACCACTTTTACGGAAAGATGCATCTTGGCTACGCTCAGATGCGCAAGACCTTTGACGCGTTCCCCAAGGAGATGCGCCACCGCCAGCGCGCACCGATGGACGATGACAATATGGGACCCGGTGGTCCCAGAGGTCCTAGGAGCGGTGGAGGGTACCGCGGGCGTGGCGGTAGGGGATACCGTGGCGGCGGTGGCGGTGGATGGTAGGCCCATCCGTGGAAGCGGAACAGATCGAATAAGATCGCAGCTCAATCCGAACCAGAGGATGAAGAATTGATGGGCGACGATCCGAATTAGGAGCCTATGACGATGCTGTCCGTCAGATCTCGAAAAAGAGCAGCATGCTATCCTGAGCACTTGGATTATGACTGAGTATTACAGAAAGCGACCGCCAATACTCTTCCATCCACGAGTCAAGAAGGTGGATCTCGAAGAAACAGACGTTCAGCACGATATTTCTAGGATGTAAAACGTGGGTGACGATACCACTGGAGGTTCATTTGCTTCATACTAAGTCTCTTAGGCCTACGATCATAATTGGTCCAGTCGGCAACGGCATTATCTGCACGATGGCCGGCACTAAAGTTTCAAGGTTGCGAAGGGACCAAGTTAAGGGAACGTAGACGGCGGCATTGGGTAGTCCCGGACGGCATTCTGTATTTACGCTCGTAACGGAACCTGCTAAGGACGAGACTCGCAACCCCTGGATGCCCGCTTAATGAGGAACCATGCTTAGAAGCGAACTATAATGTACTCCAATACCTCGTCATTCCCCCCATCGTGGCGTATTCAAAATGCGTCGTCGCTGTAATTTTGTGATCCAATTCGTGATGCTTCTCCTCGTCGCAAGGCTTTACTGTCAGCTTCAGCATAGTCCTCAAGAGGAAGATTGCGCGGCGGCATTCTTGAGCTTCTCGTCAAACGCCTCCATCTCGTCGTCCCACCTGCCAAGAGGCGACAAGACAGGAGGCGAAATATCACCGCT